AAAAAAAAAAAAAAAAAAAAAAAAAAAAAGCTGTTAAAATAACAGTGTTTAGAAGCCAAACCTCATGCCTCTCCTTACCTTCCACTGTTTCAGGATAAGAGGAAAACATGAGGTTTGTGCCATCCACTGTCAAACAGAACAATATGAAACTAAGTTCTCACATTGACACATTCTGTTGTATGATATGTCCAAAAGTTATTTCTCCAACTTTTATTTGACCTGCAGAATTGGAGATGGCTTAGCCTCCCTATAACTTCAAGTTTGTTTTACAAAGCTTTGAAAAGTAAAACAGATAATTTCATCTTCAGATATAATAAAAAATTAATTTGAATAGCAAAATAAGTAACTGCTTTTAAATGTACAGTAGTGTGTCCATTCTAAAAACAAAATCTAAACCTAGGTTAGGAAAACTCTGCAAATAATGCTTTTTATTAAACTCTCCAGTAGTAGTTGAAATAAAAATCTACTCTAACTTCTATGAAAAGATCTATTTATACCACTTAGTTTCTTCTTCTGACTCTACATTTCATTTCACAACCTGCAGACCTTCATTTGGTTTCCCAGATGGGGAACCCAGCCCCCTCATAAATATTTCTGAGAAGTTGCTCAGAGTTGGACACACAAAAATATGGCTCCTCTGGCAAGTATTGCTGTCACTGTTTGACTACATTTTAATACTGTTACTCCAATTCACATAACGAATCTTCCATGAGGATGGTAGGATGAACCTGGTTAGCTAGCTTCAGATGAGGACATCAGGGTGACCAGACCCTGGAATAAAAGGTGATCAACTCTAGGATAAAAAGGAAGAAAAAAATTCCTTCACAGCTATGAATCTTCACAAGCCTTCTAATAATCACGGGAAGTAAGTGGGAGCAGGGAAGCTACACAGGAGCACAGCCAAAGCAAATACTGCAAAACGCTTCTCAAGCCTTATCAGAAAAACTTCCTGCCATGCCAGGAACTGGATGCCGGTTTTCCAGGAAAGGGCCCATCCTGGCGTTCTGCTAACCCAAATTGCCTAAGCGTAAAGAGCAGAGTTAGTGGGGGAAGCAGGGCCATAGTTTATGTGACCTGGTCAGGTTAACGGGTCCCAATGGGCCTTTCCAGTGCACTCCCTACTCTTGATTCCCGGAGAAGCCCCTCTTCCCCCACCTCGCAAGCTCAGAGAACCCATTTTCTTTGCCTGAAATGGTGAGCTGGCAGCTAAGAGGTCCACTTCCTGGCTTTGAAGAGAAAATGCGCAGGAAGCTGCAGAGGTTTATAGGAACTATTCCATTTTAGAGGCCTATTGACCTGTCTCTCCTAAGGAATCTACTAATCTCTTCTGATTTGGTGAGCACCAAACTCTAAAGGTTTTCTCTCCTCTTCCCCCTCCTCTGTTCTGCAAACCGACTTTTTGTCTATACCCACATCAACTCCTTCACTGCTCACTCCAGAAGTTTTGCTCTTTTGGAGTGATGTGTTCTGTCAAATAGATTAAAATAAAATACATTATCTGTTTACAGGGAATACACAGAATCACAACCGGGGCTGAAGGTACAAAACACAGACATTGACATTGTGGGTCATACAAAATATATAGAAGTACCCAACATGAACAATTTTTTAACAATCTTTGCCTTCTTTTTCGCATTTCCCCACATTTTTTTTTCTTCTGTGGATCCTCTGGAGTGGATCAAGCTTCCTCTGCAGTGTTTCTGAAATTCATTACATGATTGGAACATACGGACGGAATTCATTTTCTGTCCAAAGCAACGAGTGGTGTACGTGAAAGTTTTCCTCACATACAATATTAATAAAGTTTATTTACAGTGTAAGCTTTCGGATGCCAAGGGCTGAGATGTGATGAAAGGCTTTGCCATATTTATCGCATTCTCGAGGTTCTTTCCTGGAATGAGTTTTCTGATGTATGTAAGATGTCAATGGTCTCACGTATCAAATGCAGCGAGCTGTCTGTACACATTTAGCACAGTTTCACTTTTATGCCTTTGATCAAACACGAAGTGTCTTACATATCAAGATGCCTCAGAGATCTGTCTTTTCAGGCTGGAGCCTTGCCTGCCAGGCTGGAATACAGACAAATCCCCCCCACAATCTGAAGAATTTTACTTATCTTCCTGGCAGGTGTATTTAAGGTATATCCTTTAAAAACCCTTCAAAAACTTCCATCAGGTCAACTAGCATGCTAATGGTTAACTTAACTATGGAGTACTTAAACTGTTTGTTAATAGACTTCGGCCAGTCAAGAACTTCTGAGTGTCCTGACACACTAATGAGATGTGGTGAGCCTTTCTGACCGTGACCCAATTACACTCTACACTGAGCGGCTGATAAATGGACCGATGTGAAAGGTTTTCGTGAACAGCCATAGCCTGTCCTCCCCGGCCCCCAGAAAACGCATTTTCAAATGGCTGCTTTCAGAAGTGCATCTGCTGAAGATCTGAGGCAACCGCTGTGGCTCCCCCATGGTCGGCAAGGAAGAGAAATAGGAGGGCACAGGCTGGACTGAACTTTCCTTTTCAAAACAAAAAAACAAAAACAAAAACAAAACAAAAAACCCCAAAACGATGGCTGAATTAATGTCAGCATGGAGTTATGGCTAAAAACAACAACAACAACAACAAAAAAGGACCAATGTGGAACCAACCCAAGTTCGTTCCCTCTCCAGAACAGTCAGTGCTTTGATCAGTGCCTGGGGTTAAGCGAGCGGCCTGCTGCTCCTGGTGCTCCCCAGTGGCAAGTCTTTGCTGATGAGCACCAGCCGTGAAGCCTCCACCGTGGCGTCCTCTCTGAAAAAAACCTTAAAAGCACTTCTTCCACCTTCACGGACTATAAAAAGCTATGTAGGCATATTCTTCTGGACTATCTCTTCTGTTGGTCTGAAACTGGACGGACAGAAATAGTCTGGTCACCTGCAGACTTCCTTGAAGTTTCCTCAGCCAACACTGACAGGACTGTTTAGAAGCTACAGGGGAGCTGTGGTCGGTCCCAGCTCTAAAGAGAGGCCAAAGAATTACTGCTGTGCAGAATTTCTAGTTTGGTCTGAAACTGAGGCCACAGTTGTCCCCACCTTACTGGTTCCCCATACAGCCATGCTGTCTCCCAGGCTTGAGCTGCTGGGTCACTGAACAACTGGTCAATGATAGTTTTGTTTCTTGATGGAAAACCTCAAACTCTATGTGGGGTTCCCCCAGGAAGGGGAGTCTTCAGGTCTGCTCTTAGTCTGTTTCTAAGTTCGTGCAGGGCTGTCCACCATCATTTGCACACTCTCAGGAGCAGAGTCATCTCTACCCAAGTCCCTGAGGACTGCCTATGTAGCCCATGCTACCTGCGTCTCCCGTATGTGTATCTGAAAAACGTCTGCCATTAGTTTCTAGGCAGCCAATTGTTTCCTCCTGCACAGACGATGGAAAAGATGAGTTTCAGAACCTCCCCTCAGTCTTCAGGGGTGAGAAACAGAAGAGATGCTGTGCAGTTCAACTATGATACACCCAACCACGTCTCAGCTTGTTGGTGAACTCCTCAGAGCAACAAACTTGTTTGGTAATTGCCAGCTAACGATATCAAATGCTTTTGCAAAGCTTCTGGAAAAGTGTGTGTGTGTGTGGGGGGGATGCACTCTACAGGTTTCCTTTTTCTGAAAAGCAACACAAATTATAGCTTCTGAACTATATTTAGTTACAAATGACTCAGAAAGTGCCTAAATGATCACGTTCAACAGCTGACTGAAGAGAATTCTAAGATCTTTTGGAACAGAAAGATGTTAAAAACTGGCCTTAGTAAATGTTCCTATTTTTCTTAAGATGATGACAATAAAGTCACTTCTGACATTCCATGGTACTTACTCACAGATCTGTGTTTAGGAAGAGTCTATGCAGGCAGCTGGCCAGCACCTTTCTTTTATATTCAGGATAAAAACAGCATCAGACCCCAGAGCTTTAGCATGCCTTGGATTCCGAAGGTCCTCTTCAAAAGTTGGGCCAGGCTACCATACTTCAGGTACTCATGATTCACACAGGACTTTATCATAAGCATAGAAAGTCCTGTTAGAAGTCAGGTATAATGAGTGCGTCTTAGGTGTTCAGCACTGTGTCCAGTGCTGACGGGGATGTAAATATATCCCGTGACGATCGAAGCATCTCTTTGCTGGGGTGTGGCAGGGGGCAGGACGAAAACTTTCATACACGAAACAATGGTGGATTAAAAGACAGTATACAATCAAGTGCTAGCTTGTGGAGAAATGCATTTAGGAGTGCCATAGTGCTTTAGGGATTTCGAGAAGGGAGAGAAGGGTTTTGAATCATTGTTGCCATTTCAGTAGGATTTATCTCAGTGATGAGGATAGAGCCATCTACATTTGTTGCAGTCCTTTGGAACTGTAGACTGGTGCACGTACCCTCGTTCAGGAAGAGCCAGAAATCTTTGGTTTGATACTGATCAGCACAGTCCTAGATTTCTATAGCTTTGGCAGGCTACCAGTGATCACATATATAACTTATCATCTCTAGAACTAGTTTGAGCAGCATGTCCCAATGCAGTTTTTGTTTCAACTGTTCCTCTTTTTGAGAAATACGGGATAGCAAGATGCTGGCCAAGTGGGGTTTGTTTGCAGCAAGCAGCTTTAAACCTCAGTATCGTTTTCACGGGGCCAATCTTAATCCTTCAATTTTGTACTGTGGTTTTTCGGGCCAAGAGCACCTTAAAAGGTATCCTCATTACTGAAAAGCTTGACGTTTTGCCGTGGTGTGTGCTTTCGTCTTGTACAGAAGTATCGTGAGGATTCTCCATGTGACTAGCTTTCCCCTGCAGGGGCTGTGTGGAGGGATTACATGCCCACAGACTATGCAAAGGCAGAACACTGCTGATGTAGCTACAAGGATCCTTAAGCGTGACTTTTATAATCTGTTGAGGCTGCCTTTTTTCCCCTCCGTGGGCACACGTCTCTAAGGTAATTTTGGAAACAGAAGGGGGAAATGGCTTGTGGACAACTCCTTGCCTTACACACAGCTTTTCAGGAATGCTCCAAAGGCATCAAGGGAGGCGGGGCTGTACTCGGGGGCTCGCTCTCTCGTGTGGATTCTGTGGTGCAGAGTGAGGGTCGAGCTCCGGGTGAAGGCCTTGCCGCACTTGGTGCATTTGTACGGCTTTTCTCGTGTGTGAATTCTCCGGTGCAAGATAAGGTATGAGTTTCGGTTGAAAGCTTTTCCGCACTCACTACATTCATAGGGTTTCTCCCCCGTGTGGATCCGCTGATGTTTAGTAAGGTCTGAGCTCTGGCTGAAGGCCTTCCCGCACTCATTACATTCATAAGGTTTCTCTCCAGAGTGGATCCGCTGATGGAGAATGAGATTTGAACTGTGACTGAAGGCTTTGCCACACTCGTTACATTCATGAGGCTTCTCTCCGGTGTGGATTCTCTGATGCAGGACAAGGTTTGAGTTAAGACTGAAGGCTTTCCCACACTCACTACATTCATAGGGCTTTTCTCCAGTGTGGATTATTTTATGGCGAATAAGGCTTGAACTCCTTGTGAAGCATTTTCCACATTCATCACATCTGTGGGACTTCGTTCCCGTCGGCACCTCTTCGGGGGTGTTAAAGTTTGAACTCAGACTAAAGCTTCTTCCCAATCCTTTACCCTTCTCCCTTGGACCTCTCTCTCCCGTGGTGGGTTTTTTTTCCTTGACTGTAGCTGGCCCCGAATCTCTTTTTTCTCTTCCGGTTTTTTCCTCAGGGTTTCTTTGCTGCCTTTCTACTATTCTGCCCTGCTGTTCACGTTTCTCTGCAAAATCTTTCTGGAATCTTCCTGTTGTCTCCCCACGCGATGCTGAGTCTTCTGCGTTTTCAGCCTTTGAGGCTGACTCCTCATTCTCATTCCTGTTTTCACAACCTGACACAACAGAAAATACAAATAGCAACATTTTCTTTTCAACCTGTGGGGTAATCAACCAAGTGACACTGTTCTCCAGGAAGCTTCTACATGCCTGTAAAGTGGCGTCACAGTATCCACAGGGATGAAATATGAGAAAAACAGGGGAAGAGAATGGAGATAACAGGGAGCAGAGTTGGGGGAGGAGAGGGCAGACAGAGCAGGAGGACAGCAGGGCCAGCGTGCACCTGGGAAGAGCGGCGGGAGCAGGACCAGTTAGGGAAGGAAGGAATGAGGAATGCAGGAGGTCATCATTCACAGTTGTATGACTGGTCACCCCCTAATTAATTTGAAGGAATACATGTTTAAAAAAATAACGTTCCAGGGGTGCCTGGGTGACTCAGTCAGTTGAGCGTCCGACTTCGGCTCAGGTCATGATCTCACGGTTTGTGAGTTCGAGCCCTGTGTCAGACTCTGTGCTGATAGCTCAGAGCCTGGACGGAGCCTGCTTCGGATTCTGTGTCTCCCTGTCTCTCTTGTCCCTCCCCAGCTCACACTCTGTCTCTCTCTCAAAAATAAATAAACATAAAAAAAAATCACTTTCCATTTCTAATAAAGTATGAGTTTGAAAAAAGAATGGACAGGTCTCTCCTAGAAAACAGTAAGTGGTATTCGCACAAAGAAAGGCATATACATAGCGAATAAAGGAAAAGTGAATACTCCTCCAATTCTGTGAGCTTTTTACAAGTCCACGGTTAACGGACAAAACAAGGAGCTCTGGACTTGGCAGGTTACACAGGCCTTTGAGACACAGGAGATTATCTCCTCCAGTGAGAGCAGCACAGAGCTGACAGTGCTCAGGTATCAGAGACAAGGGGGAAGCAGCTGGTTGGGGCATTAATAAACGTAACTAGAACCTTCACTGACAGACCACTGAGAATAACGGAGAACAGAAAAGAAACTGAAAACAATTCTGTATATGGCCCATGACAGAGAGAATGTAAAAATCCCAAATTTTACAAACACAAAGCTGACGCTCTCGTGTAGCAACCAGCGCACTGGTAAAACACTGGAATACACCTTTATTGTAGACTGCTAAATTCTGCATGTCGTTATTTTTAAATAGAGATTGAAAATTGTTCAAAAACCATGCAGTATTATTTATATCTACATATATATATATGTGTGTGTGTATGTAGAGATTATCTATCTATCTATCTATCTATCTATCTATCTATCTATCTCTACAATCATCTAGGGAGAGACCCAAGATATCTCAACCCTATTCTTTATTTACTTGGGCTTTAAGAACCCTTTCCAAGTGGGTCTGCACTATCCCAAACAGACCTCTGAGAGAAATTACAGAGAGTTGAACGGTATCTAACCTCTGATTTTAGTGATGAAATTGCCATAAATACTGAGGACATCAGTCCACTTCTTTTGAATTCCAAGCCAAAGTCCTTGGTTATCTGGATAGTTCCCAGACTGTACTCAGTTTTTGTTTGTTTGCTTTTTGAAGTTATCATGGGATAGGTAATACCCATGTCATAAACACAGATCAGTTCCTTGGCTTAACCAGGAAACTATCACCCGGTTATATCTATGGTTCAAGACAAAACCTGAGGTTCCTTCTTCAGTGCCCTTCAGTGACCCTCCTCCCTACCCCCCTCCCCACCCCCCCGGCAGAAGTCTCACTGTGAACCCCCCATGATACTATTTATTTGGGAGCTGCTGTCCAGTATTGTCTTCCAAGGCTTGAGGTCTTGCAGGGACAAATGGGAATGTTTGTCAATTGTGTCCCCTTGTCTCATCTGGATGATGTCTCTTAGAACTTCTTTTTGTTCCTACTACTCATTCAGGAACAGACCTCTCCACAGAAGACCAGCACTGGGTTTGGAAACTGGGAATCCTAATCACAAGGGAGGTAACAGGCGCAAGTTCATGAATTAAATAAAGCTGTTGTGGAGCTGTGCTCGCAGGATGGAAAAAGACAGAAAGCCCAGGGGAGGATGCTTGGTAACTCCAGGAATGTGGTCCTAGGTTAGGACTAGACCAATGATCAGGTCTCACATGGACCTAATAGGAAATACAGATTCTACCCCCTCGACAGAGGCACCTACATTGCAACCCAAGGGGACCGGAGAAGAATCCTAGGATCAGATTGGTTGAAGAGGTGAGGACTCAGAACACAAGAGTATTTCTGATTTCTAACAGCAAAAACTACTGAAAGGTAAAAAATCCACTTGGAATCAGAGAATCAGAGTATCAGGCTTTGGGGGCTAAGTAAATGTAATTGTGCTCCTTCTCTAATTGGTCTGAAAAAAAAAAAGCTGGGAGCTCAGTAGTCTCTCAATCCTTGTCAACTCTCAGCTGACCACATCAGAAATTCCACAACTAACAAAAAAAGATGCAAAACAATCTCAGACAACAATCCTGCATTAGTCTTACCCTGGGAAAACACGTTCCCATAATTCTCCTGCCTGTTGTCCCTATTGAGATTCCTCCGAGCCAGGTTCTGACATCCCCATTCCTCCAGGATGAGGGACACGGCCATGTCCTCGATCTTCACCATTGCCTGAAATAATATGAGAGCCCCACACTCAGTTCTCCCAAAGCTCAGGGACAACCCCATCACCCAAACCTGGAGTCAGGGACAGAACTGACTGCAAACCTACAGGATGCTGGGAAAGAAAAGGTGACCATAAGGCTCTGGTGAATGGGATCAGGAGGAGTGGGGCTACTCTGTGGGTTGGGGCATCAAGATTGTGTCCTGGGTGGAGAGAGCTAAAAGAGCTCCAGGAAGAGAGGCAGACACAAGGGTCTCAGGAGGGCAGAGGGGCCCACAGCTCACCTGGGAATCTGCTGTGAATAGTGCAGATGCCATCGCCTGGTCTCTGGGACTCCCCTCGTGATGAGGGGCAGGAACGTGGGTGGCAGGGAGAGCTGAGGGAGGAGAAAGGAGCTGTGAGTGAAACCAGCTCTGTGCTGGGCCTCCCCTCCAAGAAGGGCCTGGGGCACTCTCTTTCCTGCACCAGCATGTTCGATGTTCAGTGCTTAACTACAGAATAGTTAACTACGGAGAATTTAACAAAGAAAAGACTTTTAGGTGGGAGTCACAAGGTGTCATAAAAGGGTCCTTAAAATCACCTGGTCCAATCCCTTTAGTTTAATGAGGGGGAATCCAAGCCCTGAGAGGGTAAATGACTTGTCTAATGTCACACAGTTAAGAATGGCAGAGCCAGCTTCCTATTCTCAGCTACAGATATGGGTTAATTCAGTCCATGATTCAAGTTTGGCTCACAATTTAATTTTCCGCAGTCCAAAGAGCCAGAGCATCAGAATTTCATTGAGTTATGAACAATATAACATGAGTGCTAACAATCTTCCGTAGTAATGTCTCAGAACAGAGACATTACTCAGAGTAACAAGGGAATCTATTCTGGCCATTTTTTGTGCTTCTACTTTTCTCCCTCACTTAGCCACAGTTTTCTGATAAAATGCATACATGCTTCAAATGTCGACAAGACATTCACAAGTATATAAAAGCATGGGTTGACACGGATCTAATACAAGACATCGATCAGATGATCACACTAACTGCAATGTGTAAGAACAACTACACAAATTTCTAAACCGCAAAATTAAAATCTTCCCTTGCCAAGTAATGTGAGATTTGGAAGTATTACTGGATAAACAGATGATGTTACTGAGCTGCAAAGACAGAAGAGAAACGAACTTGAAACTGAATTACTAAACCCTGTAACTATTTCAGACCAGGTGGTTAAAAGAGAAGCTAAACCAAAATGTGCAAAAAAGACCCAAGTATCTAGCATTTTAACCTTCTGAGAATTAGGAAAGACTCTGGAAGAGGGGTAGTGCCAAGAGGGAATTGAGGATAAACGCAAATGGCTGAATTCCCTGGAGATCTATTTAGTAAGCATCAAGGGTAGGTGTCAGGGTCTCTAAAACTGCTAACTCTGGGGACAAAAAGCTCTTAATCTGGCACTTAAAACTAAAAATACCCTCTTCAATTTTCTGGCTTCCCCCACGTGAAGGGTAGAGAGACCTCGCAAGTCCTAGATAGGACATGGCTGGGACTGCATGGACAGTGGTGAATCAAACATCACAATGCACTGATTTACATGGATTTCTCCAACATGCAGAGAACGTTTCCTGCAGCTCTAATATTCACGCCTTAAATGCCATCACAAATAAACACACTGGATAAGGAACATTCCTTTATCAACTCCTCTCGAACAACTAGACTTTTAGTATGTTATTGTTTTTAGAGATGTCTACATACCTACTTTGATTTTTAAACTGGATAAAGACATTAATATTTCCCTCAAAGGAAAAAAAACTTAAACTGATTTTCATTTACATGACCCTGAAATGATTTTTTTCCTCATGTTCCTCACAAAAAAACAAAATATTTTTCCCATCCTTTCCACACTGTTTGAAATTTTTGGAAGCTAGAAAAAGACGTTCTACAACATTCTGACACATCTGAAATAAAATGAATTTTAAAAACTGATCCTTTTCAAGGCAACTTAGGACATTAACAAGAGTGTCTTAAAACCCAGACCGGAAATATATTACCACTTCCTAGCACTTTCCTGTAAAAAAAAATCTGGACATCCAAAATGCTAACCATTCCAAGAATAATGTAATGTCCACCCCAGTTCATGATGCACATTTTATTTACCATCTCAGTAACGTTAACTCCTGAGGTTGAGCTGTAAGTTTCATTTCCCCCAATGTTTATTTATTAATAATGACAATAAAGTGTAATGATTAAAAAAAAAACAAGCATGCTTAAAAATTTTTTTATTACAGGCCCTCAGCAACACAGAGAGGGCACTCCCACCCCAGACAGTTTGCTTTCCCCCACATGAAATCTTGCTTCTTTCTTACCCCGTGACTGCAAGAGGCGAGGCTTCCGAGATGAATGCTTGAAATGGGACTGGGTGGCCTCATGATGAAGGTCAAAGCTTGAGGACTCCTGCATTGGATCCAGAGGCACCATCCCCCTGGCAAGCATCTCAGGCCCATGAACTTGACCTGGGACCTGAGGACAAACGGTGGGTTTATGGGTAAATCATTTTTTACACCGGAGTTTAAATGAACAGGAAGAGGGTACGTATAATGAGTGGATGCAGGTGAAGGAGGCCAGAGCACCTCTTAGCATCTGAGCGGAGAAGAATAACCGCCACAAAGACTACCAGTGCCAGCTTCAAACTGCAACTCTCTCTTTGCTCCAGGCTTACAGCCCAAGTGCTGCTTATACAGAATAGGTTTCACCTTCTTCTTACCTGCTGTCCTGACAAATCAAGCTCTAAATCTTCCAGAAGGGTCACGGCCTCCTCCCCACTATCAGGACGGTATTCCTGCAGCCAGACTTGGAGCTCCTTGGGCAGGATGGAGAGGAACTGCTCCAGTACCAGCAGCTCCAGGATCTGCTCCTTAGTGTTTATCTCTGGTCGGAGCCACTGGTGACAAAGTTCCTTCAGTCGACTCAGAGCCTCTCGAGGCCCAAAAGTGTTCTGGTAACAGAAGTGCCTGAAACGTTGGCGGAAAATCTCTGGGTCGGGAGGCGGCGTCTCCTGCAGGCTGGAATCCTGCCCCCACATGTGGTCTTCTTCATCTTCCTCTTCTACCTTCACTATTACGATACCATCCTTCTCCTGGGCAGCCTGGGGGGACAGACCTGTGGCTTCCCTGGATTCTGCAGTCATCATTCAGGCTCAGGGAGCTGACTTGATCCAAACAGGGTCTGTGCTCTCCTTTCTGTTCTGGATGTTTTCTGATATGTTTCGGTATTGTTCCTGACATAGTAAACATAACTATTAGTACCTTTATGAAAAGTGACCTGTGTCAACACTTCACACAAGGCTGCACATCAAGGCACTGAAAATGCCTCTGAAAAGCAAAAGAAAAAACAAAACCTCCAGAGTCACACAGTTTTCACCGTCATTTTATATGTTAAGGTTTACAGAGAGGGGGTGCCTGGCTGGCTCAGTTGGTAGAGCATGTTGCACACTCTCGATCTCGGGGTTGTGAGTTTGAGCCCCATGTTGAGTGTAGAGATTACTTAAAAATAAATTCTTTGTAAGTTTTTTTGTTTGTTTGTTTATTGAGAGAGAGACAGAGAGAGAGAGAGAGAGAAAGAGAGAGAGGAGAGAGAGAAGAGAGAGAATCCCAAGCAGGCTCCACACTGTCAATGCAGAACCCAAGGTGGGACTTGAACAAACGAACCGAGAGATCAGACCTGGTCTGAAATCAAGAGTTAGGCACTTAACCGACTGAGCCACCCAGGTGCCCCTTAAAAAAAAAAAAAAAAAAAAAAAAAAAAAAAAAAAAAAAAAAAAAAAAAAAAAAAAGCGTGCAGAGAGAAACATCCAACAGGCCAAAAACACCCTTAGGGTGTGTGCCTGAGTCTGAACACCTAACCTCCAGGACAGCAGGTTACGATGCCATGCTTCTAAGTGCTCGTCCCAGAGAGAGCTGAGTGTCAGCAGGGCGCCAGGTACCAGGCTTCAAGCAGTACACACGTCATCTTATTTCCGGACACAACAGCACTAGCAGGGAGGCACGCCCGCCAGTGCCACTCTACAGACGGCATGTTACAAATTGACATTAACACCCGCCCTTGGTTAAATGTTGAACTGGCACATGTCACAGGGTACGTCCCAAGGAAAAAGCAGGAACCTCCCTCCCCCACACAGAGGGCTGCCAAAATTTCCTCATTTCACTTGTTCACTTTTCGGTACTGTGATATCTCCCAGTTTACCTGAGACCAGTTATGTGGAATAATGGATTATTTTATCCAGCTTGAACTAATCTTGTCTTCATAAAAGAGACAAGTACAGGGGCAGGCAAACTGGGTGACAGGGCTCAAATGACAGATTTCCAGGTCTTAAAGAAGTCATAGGAACATAATGTACAACAAGGGGACTACAGTGAATAACACTGTATTGCATACTTGAAAGTTGCTAAGTGCCCTTAAAAACCCTCATCACAAGAAAAAAAAATTGTAATTGTGGTGACAGATGTTAACTAGATTTATTGTCATCGTTTTGCCCAAATATCAAACCATTATGTTGTACACCTGGAATATGATGTTATATGTAAATTACATCTGGAAAAAAGAAAAGAAGAAAAAAGACCAGCAGCTTAAAGACTCCCAACAGAAAAAGCACAATTCGAAGAAACGCAAACAGTGGAAACACACGTTAAGAAAGTGGCACAGATGAAGCTTCTACCTACAGCGAGGTTTCACTCACGCAGATTAGTGGGTAAGAACGAATGTCAAACTAATTCAACAAGAAATCAACCAATAAGTGACACGGCAGCTGCTTAAAAAAAAAAAAAAAAAA